CTTCCAAGTCTAAATGTAGACCCACAGACATGCATATTTATGTTGACTAAAAGAGAAGTTCAAATCATTCATAGCATTACCATTCATAACAGCCTAAACTAGAAACAAACAAATGTCCATCAACAGTAGAATGAAAAAAAGGATATACTATAGTACAGTCACACAACGGAACAAACCATTGTAGATGTCACAATATAGATCAATCTAACAAACATCAAGAACACAGAGTTCAATAAAAAGTTCATATTGTATGGCTATAATTTACAAACAGTTCAAACATGTGCAAAGCTAATCCACAGTGTTAAAAGTCAGGATAGTGGGGTAATTACTGAGGTAATGGGGGAGAGCGGGTTCTGCAATGCAGATGATACTCTTTGATATTGGTGCTTGTTACATTTTATGGAAAACATTGTTTATACTTTTTTTACACTGTTTTGTTATTCCTTAATAGAAAGTTATTTTGAGAAGTAGAAATGGGCATGGGAGTACATGCCTGTAATCACAGCACTGGGCAGGCAAAAGCGGGAGGACTGTCATGAAGCTACACAGTGAATTCAAGGCCAGGCTGAACTACATAGCAAGACCCTGTCTCAAAAAACAAAACAAAACAAAAACCTGTAATGTTTTTTAGGTGGTGGGTTAACATCATTCTATGTATACTATAAATATTAATACATTTAGTCTTTTTCTTATCTCTCCAAATAGAGGAAGGCAATACAACATAAGCTTTCAAAAATGATTTCCATTTTAATTATTGACAGATACTTTATAGAGAGTTTCATTCTTTTTACTAAAAGAAAACATTTCTCTGTAATCTAGATTCAAATCCTCTTGCCATCTACCTTCAAAAGAGTTAGCCCACATTACCATATATTTGGGTTTAAGTAAACATTTTAAATGACGTTTTTTTTTGTTTTGTTTTGTTTTGTTTTAACTGAGCTTGCACTTTCAAAGTCTGCAAAATTGCTGGGCATGGTGGCACATGCCTATAATCCCAGCACTTGGCTGAGGCAGGAGAATCCCCTCGAGTTTGAGTTCAGCCTGGGCTCCACAGTGAGTTTGAGGCCAGCCTTCACTACTTGGTGAGACTCTGTCTCAAAAAACAAAACAAACAAATAAAAAACAAACTCTACAAAATTATTCTATTTTTGTTAAATTAATTTCATATTCTTAATCTCAGGATGAATGAGGAAATCCTTAAAAAGCATACAGTTTAGGAAAGCATGATGTGAATATGACTTATGAAAGTCTAAAATTCAATGTCTTTCCTTTTCACTTTACAATAGAATCCCTGAGTAAAAAAATACTTTGCAGACCAATGTTTTGTGTCAGAATGAACTCTGAAAAATCAAGACTTTTCCACCTGGGAATTTCCCAACTTTCACATTTGTAAATATTAATTCACAATCATCAAGGTTTGAATTGTTTTCTTAAAAAGACTATGATAAAAACACCTTAATGGATGATCTATTTAAAACTGTGTTACCATTTCTTCTCTCAGAATTTCTATCACATATGAGAGAAGAAATTTTGATATAAATATTTTATTAACTACAAGAAGGAAAGGGGCAAGGAGAAAACACAGGCAGGAAGTAGAAGTTTATTCAAAATTTCCTTTGCAAAATAATTCTTGACAAAGATGAGTGAGTGGAAAGAATGAACATCCTGAAGCACACTGCAATATTGCTCCCAATAAAGTTTATTTTGAAAAACTATTTTATTCTGCTATTTCACTTGCTATCATGATGCTGTGCTTATAACCTACTCCTTGTTTCAGAACGCTATATAACTTCCCTAAACAGCCACAGAGCACAGGTTTACAGATAAGTAACATCCACGTCCCTTTTATTACTCTGAATGAACATTAAGTTCTTTCACCCACTATCACTGGGAACTGTAGATGACAAATGATCAAAATGCTTAAAAATTTAGTTTGCTGCTCCATATCATAATTGTTGCTAATCTACTTAGCAAGTGACGTTAGAAATTCAAGTATCTTCAAGATGAAATTTCCTGAAAAATTCTGAATTTAGGCTCTAGACAACCATGAACAGTGCCAGGTGTGCCAGTATTGAGGAAGAGACACCTTTACGAAATCATCGTTTCAGTGAACTAAATAACAGCATTACTACTCTAACAAAAGTGACTGGAAAATCTAATTTAGCATATGATTAAGCACATTAATTTCATTTCTGTTTCTATAATAAAAACCATAGGACTAATCTAGTATGAAATTAGATAATTTCAGAAAAAAATGTAAAGCAATGATAAATAAGTGCAAGCTCATACTCTATATGTACAAAATGCAAAAAATATTAAAATGTCATATTCTGCTTCCTATTTTTATGAAATACCATGAAATACTAACCTGAACTAAGTATGTAATATATAATGTCTAAGAATATTTATTTAGCTAGGGATATAGCTCAGCAGCACAAATATTTACAAATCTACCTTTTTTTTGATTAATCACCTTACTTTTTATTCTAATTAAGTTTATTGGTACAATTTAGATATGCATAATGATCACATTCCCCACAAGGAATTTGTACTTGTATGTGATGTATCTTAATTCCTCTCTTTTTTTCCCAGTCCCCTCCCCTCTTTTCAACCCAGCTTTCCCTAATTACTTACAAAGCTTTGTTTCCATTTTATCCTTTTTTTCTCATTTTTTTCTTTTCCATTCCATCTCCCCTAATTCTCCTTTCCCTTTGAACAATTACTTCCTATTTCACAATATCTATTATATATTTTAGTTCTTATTTAAATATTCAGTTTCCCACACCAGAGAGACAATGTGGTATTTACACATGTGCCCAATTTATTTCACTAACGGGTATGGTCTCAAGGCCCATCAATTTGGCTATGAATGTCTCAAGTTTATCCTTCTTTATGGCTGAGCAGTATTCCATTGTAGAAAAAAAACATATTTTTTATCCATTCATCAGCTGATGGGCATTTGGGTTGTTTCCAAGATTTAGCTATTACAAACTGCGCTGCTATAAACACAGGTGTGCATATATTGCTGTGGTTTGATGCTTAAACTCACTGAGAGAGAAATTAGAGAAACCATGCCTTTTATAACAGCATTAAAAAAACGAAGTACTTATGAATCAATCTAACAAAGGAAGTAAAAGATCTCCACATTGAAAACTTCAGTACTCTGAAAAAGGAGATCAAAGAGGAGATTTAAAAATGGAAAGATATCCCTTGTTCATGGGTAGTAAAAACCAACATAGTAAAAATGGCGATACTCCCAAAATTGTTATACAGATTTAATGCAATCTCAATCAAAATACCATCAGCATACCTCACAGAACTAGAGAAAGCATTCTTAAAATTCATCTGGAACCAAAAGAGACCTAGAATAGCGAAAACAATTCTTGGCAACAAATACATACTGGTAGACCTGTGGGGAAAAAAGGAACCCTTCTCCACTGCTGGTGGAAGTGCAGACTGGTATAACCACTGTGGAAATCAGTGTGGAGATTCCTTAGAAAACTGGGACTAGAGGTCCACTTGACCCAGCCATTTCCCCTTATGGGTGTTTTCCTAAATCTATCTTTTAGTATTAACTTTTTTAAGATTTTAGGGCTCAAAGATATCAGTTTGGTTTTTAAACAGTACTGCACTAATAAATAGATGAGCCAGAACCATTCACCACAACAAATGGGATAATCAAGGAAAGTGAGGTTTTTAATACAAATGTCTAAGTTTGCTTTGTGCATATTATGATCATACCATGTTGACTTCTGAATAAGGTTTTAGCTCCTAATTCTACATTCTTCCGTAGGTTCAGTTTAGAATGGCATTTTACAAATTAATTTGCAAGTAAAATCAACAGGAGACTTAATGCATTACAAATCGGTTTCTCTAGCTGTTATATATTCAGAATGCAAGAACCTCTTCTATGAGCCCAGCAAGTCATCTAAACCATCTGTATCAACGTACTTTAGAAACAATTAAAGTATTACATGCTTACAAAATGCTCTGCAACCTTCAGGTACACTTCAAGTGCTAACAAGAGCCTTAGAAGAGCCAAAGCCAAGCTGTACTTGTAGTAAATGGTTATTGCAGTGGTAGACTGTTATAGTTTATATCTGGCTGGCTCCCAAAAACCGCGTGCACTCACAGATGGAGCTTTTGAAGGGACTGAGTATGTGGGGGGGACGGTATAGCTCAATGTGATCTTAGGGAGGAGGGCCTGGCCGAAGGAGAGGAGTCACTGGCAGCATGACCTGGAAGCATGTACCTCTCTCCCGGTTTTCCCTTTGCTCTCTGCTTCCTGGATGCACAGCAAGACACGCATGCTCTCACACACACACACACACGAGTAAATTAAATAAATATATCCAATGACAGAACTAAAAGGAATAAAGTAAACAAATGTAAAGACTTACAGAATTGCACAAACTAATTCTACTGTTTGAAAAAATAATAAGCTTGGAGGTGCAGCTTCCTCATAGAATACTTGGTTGGCATGCATGGGGCCCTGGGTTTGACTTCCAGTATCAAAAAAATAAAATACAAATGTAATTATATGACCTAAAGCTTTATCATTTTTCTTAATACCTGGTAGAAGATTCAAACATCATACATACAGAGATCTTTTGAAGTGTGGAATTAGTTACTGCAAAAACCTTATTTATAGTCTCTACCTGAGTATAATTACATTAGTATGAAAAATGTCTAACTCTAAATTAATTTATTTCATCAAAAAATGTGTTATGTATTATTACACAGACACAGGTTTATTGTAAATTTAATTTACAAATTGAACTACCTCATATTTCACTGTGGGAATTATATATACTCTAACGTTTTTATTCCTCATTAATAATAAAATTACAATTAAAATATCCTTTACTAAAAATGTAAATAGAACTGTTTGAACAGTGAGTATGACTTAATGTTGTATGAAAAGCTTTGAAAATTGTAACAGTTTTAATAGAAACTGCTTCCTATTTTGGCCTCGGGGTGAAAGAGGGGGGTCACTCTACCTCACAGAGCAGCAAGTCAATGATGTGGAACACCATGCAGAGTGGGAACTTGGCAGTAAAGAGAGTGAGGAACCATTGGGATGCATACATATGTGCTTCCAGGTTCAGATCACAGAAACGGCTGTGCAGGTCTGGTAGCTGTTCCTAAAAGAGAAAGTGGAAAACTTAGGGGAAGGAAGGCTGAAAAAGCTTTCTTTTCTGCCACAACTGCAATTTATAATAAGCTTTCTGTGGTCACTTCAACTATATTCCAGAATTGGCTGAAGTTTATGTAACTACACAGAAGTGATGACAAGAGATAGGAATTGAGTGTATGACAGATACGTGAAAAAAATACAGACTTGTTATAACTAAATAGCAAAGCTTATCTTGCTCACTTGACTGTTCTTGTTTCTGGGGAAATGCTTGGTCTGACACAACAGCTGCAGTCCAATGAATATCTTGACTTCAGGGGCAAGCCATGGCATCCCCATTCAGAGTTCACCTATCGAGCTAGAAAAGAAATGTACCATCTTTTTGGACACTATCTAATATCAACATCATCTGGGGTGAGTGATACTATCTCAATATGTTTTCAAGCACTTACTTGTATAACCAAATATTAAAAACCTATCTTCAACATCCTAAAAAAGGTTAAGGTAAAATTGTACAAGGGTATAATGTACAAAATTGACTACATCCTAAACATGCCTTTATGTTAGCTTTGCCTTCTTGCTAAGTAAAACAAGTGTTTTTCAAAAGCATGAAAGGCAAAGGAAAAAGTATTAGCATAACTAGTTTTCCCACTGAAAGGGGAAGGCAAATAGGTAAAAGCTCATGTTCACTTTGTTTTTATGAAAAGATCACAAAAGCAAAACACTTTATGCACATGACGTTCCTTTGAAAAACACCCAAATGTGCATATCAGGTACTTAAATGAGGTTTCCAAATGGCCATCAAGCTAGCAGACAAAAATTGCTAACAGAAAAATGTGGTTGAGCTTTTTCACTGAGCCACAAACTTGTTCATTTACTAGATATACTTATTTGACTTTCAAAATCTTCAGAAATACTGATGTTTTTGGAAAAACAACTTTTGTTAAAGGAAGATAAAAAATGAGTAACCATAATACTTGGTAGAATTTAATCATTAAAAAAGTGCTTGTTGCTTTTAACGTTCATAATCATCAGATTCTTCTCCACCCCTTCCCCGCTGTCATTATGCCTGTGGCTCGTTTTATGCCCTTGTCTCCATTTCATCTCCGTATGTAAGGTCTTCTGCTCGTCTATATTCCCTTGTCCCAGTGAAGTTGCTCTTCAAACTCACAATCTTTTACTCCCCATCCTTTCATCAGTCTCTTTTTGGCTTCAAATCCCTCTTTAGATACATATGGATTTTCCTGACAGGTCCTATCAGTGAAATTCTACCAGCATGCTTCACTCCCACATCCCAGTAACCCTCTTCTCCAAACATTTTACCTTTCTCCAGTAAAGAATCAATCCATTCAAACACTTCTACATTTCCCTTGGGTCCCCAACACATCTTTTAGAGAAAGTTATATGAATATGATGAATAGACCCATTATAAATTTAAGATTTCCAATCCCAGGTTGAACTTCAAAGATATCCAGTAATTCCTTTTGTCAGCTCTGTCAATAATTTTTTCTTTTCTCACAACTGTTATTATATAATATTTTATATAGATAAAATAATGCTTCTTATCCATATTTTAAAAAATTTATAAAGGACATTAAAAACATTGATTGAGGTTAGGCACTTACATGGAAAAAATTAAAGTATGTCTCTACATTATGGTATTTTATGTGTTTTTTATTCACTTACTGACATCTTTCTGTCTGTTCCATGTGTGAATTCAAGTACAATAGTGGTGCTAACTAGCATGGAAAAAGATATTTCAATTTTATTTGGTAAATACTTTTATTTCTGTACAATAATATATGGAAATCTCTTCATTGACTTACTTCACCATATCCCCTCCTCAAACTGTACTAAGGTTGAATATATAAAATGTCAAATTGCTAAATACATATGTTATTATGCTAAAAACAATGTGGATATTGGTCAAAAACCAAATCTATTTATTTTTTCAGTAGTACTTCATTAAACTTTTACAACTAATTATTGTTTATCAAATCTACTAGGGTTTTTTTGTAATGCCACAAATCCCTAGGTGATGAAAGTTCCTAACTTTTATTTACCTGCATTAGTCTCTCCAACTGATAGAATTTGCAATGAAGATCTTCAAAGTTATTTTTGTAGAGGTCTCTCAAACCATAGTCATACATGATTTTCACCAAAACACAGAATGCTTGTTCCTCTGGCATCTACAAGAAAACAGACACATATAAAATACTGTAAGTAAGTGGCATTTGGCCAGAATGTCGAAAAAGTGTCTTTATGTTATTAGTCCTCTACATAAAGGGTTGAAGGCATGAAGTGAATGAAGAGTACATCAGAGAGAACCTTCTGTTGAGTGATATAGGTAAAATTTCTGTTCAAAGTTTCTAGCCTCTGTACTTGAGATGAATTACCCTCTTTTGCTAACTTTAATCAACTTGTTATCCACCCCTTCAATGGGATACCTTGAAAAAATAGGTAAGAGTCACATGTTTCAAAAATCTAAACAATATCTAGTCACACATTAGGCCTTTATACCCTCTCTACTCATCTCCTTTGCATAACTGCATATCCTTAATAATTTATCCTATATTCTGCCGGTTTCTCTATGCAGATACAATGCATTGAATTTTTTATTTTAAAGAGAAAAGAAAACAACAAAGATTAAAAACAGAACACGACAATAAAAACGATATAGAATTTCAAAACAAGATGTATATAGATAAAATAACTGCATTTATTTTACTTTGCCCCTTTCCTACACAAAGATAATACTCTAAAAATGCTGCTACTCAATTTATTTTTCCCTTTCACAATGTAAGTTGGAAATATTTCCTTCTCATTATATAACTAATTGCAAATAGCTAAATAGTATCCCACTATCTAGATACACCAGAATTCATTTAGTCAATTTCCTGATAATGGGTTCTGGAGATGGTCTAATATTTTATCTCAATAGCTGCAATAAACAACCTTGTATACACATCATTTTTTTTACACATGCAGGGATGAGATGGGGCACATTCCCAAAAGAGTGATTGATGGGTGAAAGACTAGAATGTATTTTTAATTTTTTTTTCTTTGAGACAGGGCCTCACTATGTAGTTCAGGCTGGCCTTGAACTCAGTGATCCTCCTGGCTCAGCCTCCCAAGTGCTGGGATTACAGGCGTGTGCCACCATGCCCAGCATGCATTTTTAATTTTGATGGCTAGTGTGACACAGTCATCCAGACTCTTAATGTTGCTGTTTTCATTTCTGCAAAAAGGAATATTTAGGGAAGGATCTTAGGAGTTTCTACCATTTAAATGATCGATAAACTACATGAATCCTCTCAGATACTTTTTGTACACTGATAATAAAATCTGAACTGGACCTGATCTCTAAATTGCAGTAACAATAACCTGAAAGAATATGGGAACATAGTCAAAATTCTAGAAATTACATGAAGCAGACAGAAAAATATATTATACTTATTCAATGTCCTAGGATTAACTATTATATAAACATCTATTTAAAATGTCACCCTTGAAAATCTGAATTTGGTTGACTATGTTAATATATACCTTTGTTAAATTAACTTCATGCCTGAAAAACTGAATCAAGCAGTTCCATTTACCAACTGAGAAATGTAATTAAGGTTTGTATAAAATTAGCCACTTCTATTTTCTATTTAGAAACCACACAATGAATAGCTAAATAAAATCTACAATTAAATGAGTACACATTACTATTGTCATTTGTTTTTTATCTGTGACTAGAGGCCTTTTCAAAAACTTGGCCTCTGAACTTAGCCATTCAGGTGAGCAAGCATTTTTTCAGCTCCTATTTAGTTATTTAAAACACAAGTGCTTTCCTCCTCCCACAGGTCTGTCATTTGTGCCTCAGGTGACACTGACTTGCACCTAGACAGCCTAGGATACTTCTCTGCCCACTAAGTTCTCAGCCGTATCATCTGCCTCTTAGACCTCTATTTAAATGGCTATATAGAAAAGCTGCATGTAAGACAGCTATAGCTAACCATACAGAAAATACTTCACAGCATCTTTCTCTTTCTGAGTGAATAAAAATTCACTCAGTAAATATTTTAACATATGGTATCTTATACATGGGATAAATCTTTATTTCCTTGAATGGTATAAACCTACTGAAGCAAATACAAGTATTAAGTGCTTTTGGCCTCCTAGTGTACAATGCTTGAAGAGGTGAGATGCAGGCTCTCTAGGAGACTCAAGATACAACAGAAAGAGCACAATGCCTTCCTGACGGATGTGTCAACAGGCAACTCTGCTTGATGAGGAGACAGAAGTCCTGGAAAGGTAGGCTGGTGCACAGACAGCATCACTACACTAGAATACAAGTACAGGAATGGCTTGGTATGAACCAGATCAGTATTAATTATCCAAAACAGTCACAGGGTATGGTGGACTGACAACTGGTGGTCAATTTAAAACCCCCAGTTGAACTGAGTAAGCATGATGCTGGGTGTGGGAGGCCCACCTGGGGATTGTTGCCAGCAGCGTAAGAGACAAAACTGGAGAGGTAGGCTGTTGGAGCTGAGAAAGGCTGTTGGGAGCTGGCAGAAGCTGTGAGGAGCTGTTGGTTCTGTTGGAGGAGCTTGTCATGCTGGCTTTCCTGATGAACTTAGCTGTTTTCATCCTCCAAGGAGCTCAGGACCTTGCAGGCACTGAGAATAGCTTCGGTTCATTTTGGAGGAACTATGGTCCTCACTTTGAGCATCGCCTCCTGGCTCCAGAAGGCAAGATGGTGCACTGCCAGTCTTCTGGAGAAGCTTGTTGCACTGGCTTCGCTGATGGGAACTTGGCCATCTTGATCATCAGAGGAGCTTGGGACCTCACTGTTGCTGAGGATGGCTGTGGTACCTTTCGGGGGAGCTCTGGTTCTTATTTTAAGTGTTGCTTCCTAGCTCCAGTGCAGATCCCTCAGCCTGCTAACACAGATCCTTCATCCTGCTGGCACAGACTTTGGGCCTTCCTAGCACAGATCCATGAAACAGGCCTGCATGAGATATTGCTATGGGCTCTGGGCCTCAAGTTGCATTCGTGAGCAGCACTACTATGGCCTCTAGGTATTCAGCTGGACTCATGTAGGACATTATTGCAGGATCCAGGCCTTCAGCTGGATTCCTGGTTTATAATGTGTGGACAGATTTCCTGCACTCTCTTGTATATCATTCTTTGGGTGACTAGTATAAATAATCTTATTAAATATGTGTCCTGTATTATATTGTTCTCCCTTGCAAAAATATCCCCCAAATCATAACAGTCCCCTTCTCATTTACAAAAGATCTTGTCCATGTTTCCTATTATCTATCATCTGTCTTTTATTTTACCCTTTTATTTACTTATACTTTGTGTATCTCATATAAGAGAATCCATGTGATATTTAAGCTCACGTGTCTGATTTATTTCATTTAACAGTATGATCTCAAGGTACATGTACCTTCCTACAAATGACTCAAATTTATCCTTCTTAATGAAAGAGTAGTACTGCATTGTGTGAAAATATACATTTTCTTTATCCATTCACCTACTGATGGACACATAGGCTACTTCCAAGACCACTACTATAAATATGAGTAGAGATGTATCATTGTACTATGATGCCTCTAACTCAGGAAGATACCAGAAGTGGAATAGCTCAGTTGAATACAGTTTTTAGTTTTGGATTTTTTTTTTTTTTGAGGAACCTCTGTAATGATTTCCATATAGTAGCTGTAATAGCTTACATTTTCACCATTGATGTAGAAGGGTGCCTTTTTCCCAACAGCCTCACCAACATTTACTTGATTTCTTCATGCTATCCATCCTTTCAGGTATAAGATTAAATCTCACTGTTTTTTTAAAAATTGCATTTCGTTAATGGTCAGAGATGCCAAACATTTTTTTCATGTAGTGCACTTAATGGCCATTTGAACTTCTTGTAAGAAGCATCTATTCATTTCAGTTGCCCATTTTTTGATTACGTCTTTTATTATTTGAGGATCTACTTTTTTTTTTTTAGCTCCTTACGTATTCTAGATATCAGTCTTCTGAGGAATAGCTAGAAAAAAAATTCCTATTCTGTAGGCTGTCTCTTTGCTCTGCTGGTTGTTGCCTCTGCTGTACAGAGGGTTTTCAAGTTGATGTAATTTCATTTGTTGATTCTTGATGCTGTTTCTTGTGCAACTGAGGCTCTGTTCAAAAGTCCTTTCCTGCTGGGTGTGGTGGCCTCCTATAATCCCAGCACTCAGGAGGCTGAGGCAGAAGGATCACTGTGAATTTGAGACCAGCTTGGGTTACATAATGAGTTCAGAGCCTGCCCAGACTCCAAAGTGAGACCCTGTCTCAAAAAAAAAAAAAAAAAAAAAGACCTTTGTATGCCTATGTCTTCAAGAGTTTACCTATTTTATCATCCAGCAGATTGTTTGTGTTTTAATATTCAGATCTTTGATCAATTTAAATTTTAGTTTTGTACATGATGAGAGATGTGTGTGTCTAGCCTTAAACTTCTGCATGTATAGAGCAGTTTCCCCAGCACCATTTACTAAAGAGGCATCTTTTTTTTTTTACATTGTATTTTTTATTTTAAAAAGTAAAAAAACTAACAACACAATATTGAAGACAAAATCAAAACAACACAAAAACAACAAAAACGATACAGGACCTCAAAACAAAATGACAAGAACTAACAATGGTTGCTGCCTTACATACTGTTATCTTCAATGAAGCTGCTCAGTCCACCACACATAGGAATGTAAGATTGATCAAACCATCAAGGACAGTAACAAGTAATAAAAAAAACCATGGGAAATGATGCAGAGCTTCACCATAAAAGATGATAGGAGTTCAACAATGGTTCTTACACTGCAAATTATTGTTTTCAGATCAGTCATTCTGATTACCAGGTTCAAGAGTGCAAAATTGGTCAAGAAAAAAAACTGTAAGCATTGACTGTTTCTTTCAATAAGCCACAGGCACCTTTCCTTCAGGGTATGTTTTTGGCCTCTTTGTCAAAGATTAGATGACTGACTGAACATGCCTGGGGTTATTTCTGCACTGTCTATTCTGTTCCACTAATCCACATGTCTGTTTCTGCACCTGTATAGTACTATACTGTTTTTATCACTGTGGTTTTGTAATGTAATTTGAAATCTGGGATTGTGATGCCTCCTGTTTTTGCTCTTAATGCCCCTACTGCTTTTATTAT